CAATCAGTTCGGATGAGGTGGTAGAGATCCAATGGCTCTTACTAACTTTTGGTTTTAGCTTATTAACAGTTTTTACAGCTGTGTCTACAGCTAACTGTATGTTGTGCCAGCCAGGCTAACTCAGGGGAAGTCTTACTGTCGATTTCAGACACTGGTTTCGCTATTTCCTTAAATAAGGGCTCAGTGTCTTGATCTAGTTGTGTACGTAACTGTTTCGCTGCCATCAATTTCTTGTGTCCGTTTAGTCGTAGGCATAAACGTGCGCGAACCAGAGCGTGATCAGAGTCTACGCACTTGTTCCAGAAGGAGCGACAGTCTTCTACTGACCCTCGCCAAGGATACCCTATGGCTATATGGTCTCTCTGAGTCCAGCGTTGATTTGGTGATGGAGGTCTCCAGGTTACGCAGTGTCTCTCTTTATGCCTAAAGTTAATGGTGACTGGGAACACATGATTATCTGGGGACAACTGTGGAAGACGATCACCGTTGTCGGTTCGTCGGCAGGGAACTCCATACGTACCACCTACATACTTCTCAGCCTAGCACAACTTCCCTACTTGGTCATCGAAGTCGCCTGCTAAAACAACTATATCTGAACGTTTTGCTTTTTGCAGCAAATTAGATAGTTTCAGGTAGAAATTATCCTTTAGTTCATCTGAACTGCGGTCTGTTGGGGCGTAAGCGAAGACTGTGAGAAGGCGACAACGGGTGACGCCGTCTTTCCTTCTTCTAGTGGACCTGTTCAGACAGATCGCACACATACGACTATCTACAGGGATCCAGTCAAGAAGTGATTTTTCCGCCCTAACACTGAGTGCTATCCCTACACCTGCGAGACCTCGCGAGCTAGCTGAGGGGTCTTCTGACACCCTTAAAGTAAATTTTGCAGATTCACCTTGTTGACCGGGTGAGGTTAAGTGAATGACCACACTCGGGTCTAGTATGCGTGTCTCCGAAACACAACATGCATCCATGGCTCGAGATGGCAGAGTTCTTGCTAGTGATGCCTTTGGAAGCGTGTGGGCGGTTGTTAATCCCCGACTGCCCACACCGTGGAAGTTGGTTGATTCTTCGGGCACCTGAAACAGAGAGAGAGATGGTTAGTGTTATGTGACCGCTGAGTCCAGGAGACAACTGCTTGAGCCAGGCCGGTCACACACGGCTTGTATGAACTGGTTCCTCGGTTTGGTTCCGTATTAGTGAACTTACCGCCGGTTACGGACCACCGTAGGGTGAGTCGGGATGTGCAATTTTTGGGGTCAACCTTTTTCTCTCCAGAGTGAAGAGACAGCATAGCTGACTGGCATTCTGGTCATCTGAGGGAAACACCTTACTGCTGTTACATAACCGTCCCCCAGCAGTACGACTTCGCCCTCAGACCCCCCAGGATAGTGTAAGAAAGATTCTTGCACAATTCCAGTAACTGGTTTTAGTCTAATCGCCATCCTAACAACCTTCCTGGCATGGTAGGACCTGCAGAAACATTGGTTCCAGCCAGTGTAGTTTGTTGGGTCATCGCGAATTGTAAGCCCGACCACCACGTCAAGGTAGCAGCTATTGGTCTGGGAATGCGTTGTTGATGACATTTATACATCTATATTACAATCTGTTTCTTGACCATGATTATCTTTATTCTCTTCAGCCATATAGAGACGTGTAGAAGAAGAATAGAAGACGATTGGCACGTCTTGATTTGCCTACCGTTGGCTTGCCCATGTTTTATGTGAGATGGAGAATTCCGACATGCGTTTATGTGCAGTAACTGTCCTAAATAGTTGAATGTCGACTGTAATTGGCGGACATGTTGCTAGGCTATAGAAATAAATAGATAAGAATCAATTTGTGTGTGCAAATACTAGTTCACTGATAATTGTATGTCTTTTGGCTAACCCTAGCAACATGCCACTTCAAGGGAGTCCTGAATGTGTCGTCTTTATTGGTGCGGTCAGATGCTGGTATAGAATTCCTGTAGACGTGTCGCTCTTGAATTGTATATTATTATTATTATTATCATTGCTCCCTTGGGTTCCTAGTGGAACATAGGGCTTCAACTGCACGTCTCCACTTGCTTCTGTCTTCCGTCCGCTGTACTTTTCACCTGCATCCCTGTTAGTCCATACTGTTTCAACTCCTCCAACTAACACGATCTCCTCCATGTCATTCTTGCACTGACGTCTCACTCGCCGCTTCCCATTCTGTCGGGTTCCACTTGAGCAATGGCCTGACGCCCTCCGCGATATCACCCAGCGTCCTCCTCAGCGAGCCAGTGTCCAGTCCATCTCCACTTTCTCCTGCATATTTGTTAGTCAGCGATTGGTTCTTGTTTTGTTTGTTTGTGCCCATAGTTTCTTGTTGGGGATTCTTTCCGGCCCGACCCGGCCATCTGATCTTCAGTATAGAGCGAAGACAATTAGTTGTTAATAAACGTAACGTCTGCAACAGGCTGTTGGAAATATTCTTTGTGATCCACCCGCCAACTTTCTGATCCGTATAGAATAGCTGACTGATTTGACGTGTTTGTATTGAAAATCCGACCGAATTTTGTTTTTGATGCTGGTTGAGTGACGAAGATTTCCAGATTGATTTCAGGTTGATGAGTGGATGTGTTTCTCACCTTCCCGATTCTCGCCCGATTTGACATCCTCGTCCGTTCCGACTTTCTGTGGTTGAGACAATGCTGCCTCCCTAGATAAGTGAATGAAGTAACCTCTTTCAAATCCCTCCCGTTGATGGTGATTGGCACTGAATGTTGCTGTTGTTGTTGGTTGGTTATTTTCATAACCTCTGTCTTGTCTATGTTCACCTGGAGTCATGTCTTTGCTGCTTCTTCGACTAGTTTGTCGGTTTTCGCTTGTAAGTCTTCGATTTTGTGTGACATCAAGCATAAATCATCCGTGCGCGAAATCCAGGTCTTCTAGGTTCTTCACGTCGGTCCAGGATATCCCTATCTGCTCGTTCCCCACTCTCTGACGCATAATCCAGTCCACCACAATTAGGAATATCATTGATTGGCGATAATAAGCACCCTTGTCTGACTCCTGTGTTTGCTCCAAACGCCTCGCTGAGTTTTCCGTTGTGGATCACTTGACATGTGCCGTTGTCGTACAGCTGTTGAGTAATGTTGGTGAATATTTGGGGTACGCCATAGTACTCGAGTAGTCTCCAAATTACTTCGCGGTCAACGCTGTCTATCGAAGGCCTTCTCAAAATCTATGAAGTTTAGGTAGAGGTTTGATTGCCATTCTGTGATGATGATGCGTAGAGTTGCAATTTGGTCAGAAGATGATTTGCCTGACTTTCCTGAATCCAGCTTGTTCTTGTCGGAGTTCTGTATCCAGTGCGTCCTTTATTCTCTCCAGGATGATGCGACTCAGGATTGTACCTGGCGTCGACAGGAGCGTGATTCCCCGCCATTTCTTGCAGGGTCCCAAGACGCACTTCTTTGGTAGTTTCACAAGGTAACCTTTCCTCTAGTCAGTAGGCACCTTTCCCTCCTTCCAGACCTTTTGCAATAATGGAGTCAGCATGTCTGCTGTAGTCTCTGGGTCCGCTTTCAGTGCTTCAGGGGGTATTCCATCTGATCCGGCTGCTTTTCCAGCTTTCAGAAGCTTGATTGTGTTCAAGACTTCAGCTCTTGTTGGGGGATTGGTGTCAACTTGCAGTTTTGTGCGAGCTGTTGTTGGTATTTCTGGACGGGTTGCAGGTGATGGTCGGTTCAAGAGTCCTTTGAAGTGATCCGCCCATTGTTTAATCTGTTTTTCTTCCTTGGTAATTGGGTTCCCTTGGCTGTCTTATAGGTTTCGCTTGTGTTGGTCTCTTCCCGGATAGAGATTTGGTTATCTGATATAGTGTCCTCAGGTCCCTTTTGCCTGCCGCCTTCTCAGCTTCAGTGGCGAGGTTGTCGTAGAATCGTCTTTTGTCCTTCCTAGCACTCTTCTTCACTTCTTTATCTAGTGCTGTGTAAGTTTAAACTCAGCGTCTCCTTCTTTTGTCCGTCTTCGCATTGAATTATTTTCTCTTTCACCATTCTCCTCTCCTCTATTAGCTTCCATGTGTCCGATGAGAGCTATTTCTTGTCTTGTCTCTTCTCCCTTCCTAAAACCGTTGAACACGTTTCATTGAAAATCATCTTCAGAGAGTTCCAGTGGTCTTCGACGCATGATTCTTCAGTGATGTCGCGTATTGTTTCCTGCGTCGCTCTGACAGTTGCAGCGAAAGTGTCCTTTGTGGTTGTGATCTTCAGTCTTTGAGTGTTGAACTTGCATTGTGGCCTATCCTCAGCTATCCTCAAGGCTTTCAGCTTCACCTTGAAAGTCCCTTGTACTAGATAGTGGTCTGAATCCACATCTGCTCCTCTCGTCAACCTTGTGTCCAGTAGGCTCCTTCTCCACTTCCTTGAGACTAAAATGAAGTCTATCTGGTTTTTGGTGTGTCCATCTGGTGAAATCCATGTCGCTTTGTGTATGTCCTTGTGTTTAAACACACTGACACCAATCACCAAATCATTGAAGGCGCGGAAGTCTGAGAAGAGTTCACCATTGTCGTTCATTTCACCGAGGGCCTCGCGACCCATAGTGAGTTGACTTCCTGTATTGTCTCTTCCCATTAATATCAGTAAAAAGTTTGAGTATTGTGGATTAGATCAAATAAAGTATAATTATATTTTAATAGTTTACACACAATGATAAGTTTTGTTATTGGTAATATTTCGAGCAAAATTACTGCCCGTGTTCACACCACTGTTGGAATTGTTTTATTCACACATTTATGATTTGTATTCACATATATAGTTCATTATTATTATTTTGTTCATTCATGTTTTGTGTGTGCATATGTGTGTTCAGAATTATACTCCACATTCATTCATGTGTTTGTGTTTAGAATTATATTCCAAGTTGTTGATAGTTGTACTCAGTCACCCTTGCTTTATCCGGTGTGACTTTAATGAATATCGATTCTGTTATGAGTCTTTCTTTCCATTTGTTCATGTTTGTTTTTAGAATACACACTGTAAGATCAATTCTATTCCCATCCTTGAATCAAGTCAACCTGTCCCGGATCAGCCTAGAGTTGTTGCAACCCAATTATCCATGCCTAATGTGTCTATCCCTGCTTGTTTAATGAACTGTGTGTATGTGTTTTTACCTCGATCTGTTTAGTCAGACGGTTGAACTCATGGCCCAATCAGAGTATTTTGTGAACTGTTATTTTTGCTGACCCATGTCTAACTTTGTACTATTCTGTCGAGTTTATCTTATTTATTGATTTTCATCTGTATTTTCCTACCTGGTTAAGTAGCCAATTAAATTCTATCTTTGTGCCTATGCTAGGTCTATCTCTCTTAAACGCTCTCTGTTTTATGCCATACCTTACTTGGGTTCATTCTTCGACTGACTGCTTACCTGAACGGTCGTGTCTGGTTCCGGCTAGTTCGCAATTTTGGTTTTAACGTTATTCCGCTCTGATAGCGGTACCTTGCTTTCTGTTAAGCGTTGTGCTTTGTACTCTTGAAACCGTTAAGGTTTGTTGTATATATAATTATTGATTTGTTTATTAATAGTACCGTAGAAACAGTGACCGGCTTCTTGTTTGTTCTGGACCGGGATAGCCTTTATCTACGCGTGACTTAATTTCAAGCAATATTGCGCTTACAGTACTTAACGGTTTACTTAACGTAGTACATAACGCTAAAGGGATCGAGACCGTACTGAACTGGTCAGTACTTAACGCTAAACGGATCGAGACTTTACTTAACTGGTCAGTACTTAACGCTAAAGGGATCGAGACCATACTGAATTGGTCAGTACTCAACGTCAAACAGGATCGAGACCGTACTGAATTGGTCAGTACTCAACGGCAAACAGGAAAGACCGTACTGAACTGGTCAGTACTGAACGTTCGTCCAGAAGAAACTGTGGTGAATTGGCCGCACGCAACGTTGTTGAAAATACACTTTTCTTTGGAACAATGCAAACGAGATCAGGGAAGCAAATTTCGGAGCAGCAGTCGGAGAGTCGGCAAGCCCCCATTTTTATAAATGATCATGTTGATAATCTTTCGTGCCCCGGCTCTCATGTCAGTAGTTCGAAATCATCATTATCGCGAATAACTAGTGCTCAGTCGTCACTTCTAAGGGCGCAGCTAAAAGAGAAACAGCTTCGACAGGAATTAGAGTTAGAGAAAAAGTTGCTAAAGGCTAGACATGATGTCGAAATGGCCGAGCTGCATGTGAAGTTAGCCACGGACGACGAACGGAACATTGAGGAATATGAAAGAGGCAGTGTCATTGATAACCGGGAGCAGCTAGAACGATATGTGAAAGATTGTGCCGCAATGGCTGGCGGGGACGCTCCTGTTACGGTCAGGAAGAGCGCGGTCGTAGAGAAACTTGACATGCCTAAGGTTGAAAGCGGGGACGCTCCTGTTACGGTCAGGAAGAGCGCGGTCGTAGAGAAACTTGACATGCCTAAGGTTGAAATGTCCTATTTTGATGGCAACGGTACTGACTACTTGAGATTTACCAAGGAATTCGAGTATTATGTCGAGAATAGAGTAAAGGACCCTGGTCAAAGAATGTTATATCTGTTGCACTATTGTAAAGGTCGAGCTAAAGCAGCCATACAGGAATGTGTGATCTTGCGTCCTGAGAGTGCGTACGCGCGAGCTAAGGGTATCTTACAGGATCTGTTTGGGGAGATCCACGTCATCGCACGAAACCGTATTGAAGACATGATTAGAAGCCTACGACCTGTGGCAGAAGATGGAGAATCTCTATCCCGTCTATCAATACAGCTTCAGAATTGCCTGATTGCCCTAACTGAAATGAACTATTTGTCGGACTTAAATTCCGTAACAACTCTCGAGAGAATAGTACGCATATTGCCGATAGCAGTTCGAAGGAATTGGGCCAGACTAGCAGACGCAAGAAATCAAGAAGGGCAAGAGCCATCTTTTCAGGATCTTTGCCAGTTTGTTTCTACAGAGGCAAGAGTGGCACGAAGCCGATACGGACGCCTCGTTTCAGAGGGCTTTAACCGCCCGAACGCCCAAGTTTCACCAAATAGACAGGGTCGTCATGGGGGCACATCATTCGCAATACAGGGAGAAAGGACCCCTGCACCCAAGCGACTGTGCATTCTCTGTAGGTCTGACCATGCTACTGCTTCATGTCAGAAGTTTGTTGGATTAGATGTGCGAGACAGATGGAGCTGCGTCCGCCGCCATAGAGCATGCTTTTTGTGCTTAGAGGTCGGACATCGTATCGATCATTGCGTATCGGGTATAAAGTGTTCCAAAGTTCATTGCAGTGGTAAACATCACCCACTGCTACATGTTGAACCGGTCGTAAATCAAGTGGCAGAACAGGGGACATGTGCTGCTACTATGCATTATGGAACGGCAGTTATGCTAGGTGTGATTCCCGTCAAGGTGCGGGCCCGCGGTAAGGAAACAGATACTTATGCCTTTCTGGATAGCGGCTCCGACGTTACCTTAGTTACGAAGGATCTATTGAGCAGCTTAGGCCTAGAGGGCACACCATCGTCTATTACCTTGACAACAATCAATGGGGTGAGTCAGGTTCAGGGCAACATGTGCGAACTGGAAGTCGCATCAATGGATGAAAATGAAGTGATAAGACTTGACAGAGTGTTCGCGTTGCCATCCCTGCCGGTCAATGCACCCTCACTATCGGTATCACAAGAGGCCCGTCGCTGGCCACATCTCCAGGAGTTGCCATTCCGCGAACTTGATGATAAAAGGGTCACGATGCTCATAGGTTGCGATGTTCCCGAGGCGCATTGGGTCCTCGATCAGCGTTTGGGTAGTCGCAAACAACCTTACGCAATCAAGACATTGCTCGGTTGGGTCTTGCTAGGGCCACTTCATGGAAATACGGAAAGAGGCACTGTCAACTACGCTCGAATCAGCGAAGACAGTATTAAAGACGACATCAGAAGTCTACGTGAAGCTGAGCTTAAGGATACTGAAGAAATCGAACGCTCATTTTCTATCGAAGATCGTAAGGCAAGCGAGTTGGTTACTCAAAGCACCGTCTTAGAAAAGGAGCATTACATCATTCCCTTGCCATGGAAAGATCCAACAAAAGTAACGGACAATAATTATGTAGTCGCCATAAATCCGTTACTCAATCTGAAACAAAGGTTATCGTGTGACAAGAACCTTTTAGCACGATATGTGGATGGGGTAAATACGATGTTAAAAAATGGTTATGCCCTTCCGGTACCCCCAGAGCAGCTAGCAGCGAACTATCGTTCGAGTTGGTATCTTCCACATCATCCCGTTATGAAGCCGAAAAAGCCAGATAAACTGAGATTAGTTATAGATTGCGCCAGAAACTTTAGAGGTTATTCTTTGAACAATAAGCTATATCAAGGACCTGATACGATTGCCGAGCTTGTTGGTGCTCTGTTGCGCTTTCGAGGAAAGCCTATTGGTGTAGTCGCGGACATAGCTGATATGCTTATGCAAGTGAAGGTGCCAGTAGACGATCGAGGAGCATTACGATTTCTGTGGTGGCAAGATGGTTGGCTAGGCGTTGGCCGCGAGGAGTTATTGCGGGATGCGAGCAATCCGCGGACGGACTTGTCAGAACAGTTACAATAAGAACGAGAAACGGCGAGGTGAAGCGCGATATAAGTAAGATATGCCTACTAGAGGGAAGTCATTTGTAAGAGAGCCGGGCACGAGGGTTATTCTGTATAACATGATTCATAAAATCCTAGTCGGATTTTGGGGGCCGGTGTAAGATCAATTCTATTCCCATCCTTGAATCAAGTCAACCTGTCCCGGATCAGCCTAGCGTTGTTGCAACCCAATTATCCATGCCTAACGTGTCTATCCCTGCTTGTTTAATGAACTGTGTGTATGTGTTTTTACCTCGATCTGTTTAGTCAGACGGTTGAACTCATGGCCCAATCAGAGTATTTTGTGAACTGTTATTTTTGCTGACCCATGTCTAACTTTGTACTATTCTGTCGAGTTTATCTTATTTATTGATTTTCATCTGTATTTTCCTACCTGGTTAAGTAGCCAATTAAATTCTATCTTTGTGCCTATGCTCGGTCTATCTCTCTTAAACGCTCTCTGTTTTATGCCATACCTTACTTGGGTTCATTCTTCTACTGACTGCTTACCTGAACGGTCGTGTCTGGTTCCGGCTAGTTCGCAATTTTGGTTTTAACGTTATTCCGCTCTGATAGCGGTACCTTGCTTTCTGTTAAGCGTTGTGCTTTGTACTCTTGAAACCGTTAAGGTTTGTTGTATATATAATTATTGATTTGTTTATTAATAGTACCGTAGAAACAGTGACCGGCTTCTTGTTTGTTCTGGACCGGGATAGCCTTTATCTACGCGTGACTTAATTTCAAGCAATATTGCGCTTACAGTACTTAACGGTTTACTTAACGTAGTACATAACGCTAAAGGGATCGAGACCGTACTGAACTGGTCAGTACTTAACGCTAAACGGATCGAGACTTTACTTAACTGGTCAGTACTTAACGCTAAAGGGATCGAGACCATACTGAATTGGTCAGTACTCAACGTCAAACAGGATCGAGACCGTACTGAATTGGTCAGTACTCAACGGCAAACAGGAAAGACCGTACTGAACTGGTCAGTACTGAACGTTCGTCCAGAAGAAACTGTGGTGAATTGGCCGCACGCAACGTTGTTGAAAATACACTTTTCTTTGGAACAATGCAAACGAGATCAGGGAAGCAAATTTCGGAGCAGCAGTCGGAGAGTCGGCAAGCCCCCATTTTTATAAATGATCATGTTGATAATCTTTCGTGCCCCGGCTCTCATGTCAGTAGTTCGAAATCATCATTATCGCGAATAACTAGTGCTCAGTCGTCACTTCTAAGGGCGCAGCTAAAAGAGAAACAGCTTCGACAGGAATTAGAGTTAGAGAAAAAGTTGCTAAAGGCTAGACATGATGTCGAAATGGCCGAGCTGCATGTGAAGTTAGCCACGGACGACGAACGGAACATTGAGGAATATGAAAGAGGCAGTGTCATTGATAACCGGGAGCAGCTAGAACGATATGTGAAAGATTGTGCCGCAATGGCTGGCGGGGACGCTCCTGTTACGGTCAGGAAGAGCGCGGTCGTAGAGAAACTTGACATGCCTAAGGTTGAAATGTCCTATTTTGATGGCAACGGTACTGACTACTTGAGATTTACCAAGGAATTCGAGTATTATGTCGAGAATAGAGTAAAGGACCCTGGTCAAAGAATGTTATATCTGTTGCACTATTGTAAAGGTCGAGCTAAAGCAGCCATACAGGAATGTGTGATCTTGCGTCCTGAGAGTGCGTACGCGCGAGCTAAGGGTATCTTACAGGATCTGTTTGGGGAGATCCACGTCATCGCACGAAACCGTATTGAAGACATGATTAGAAGCCTACGACCTGTGGCAGAAGATGGAGAATCTCTATCCCGTCTATCAATACAGCTTCAGAATTGCCTGATTGCCCTAACTGAAATGAACTATTTGTCGGACTTAAATTCCGTAACAACTCTCGAGAGAATAGTACGCATATTGCCGATAGCAGTTCGAAGGAATTGGGCCAGACTAGCAGACGCAAGAAATCAAGAAGGGCAAGAGCCATCTTTTCAGGATCTTTGCCAGTTTGTTTCTACAGAGGCAAGAGTGGCACGAAGCCGATACGGACGCCTCGTTTCAGAGGGCTTTAACCGCCCGAACGCCCAAGTTTCACCAAATAGACAGGGTCGTCATGGGGGCACATCATTCGCAATACAGGGAGAAAGGACCCCTGCACCCAAGCGACTGTGCATTCTCTGTAGGTCTGACCATGCTACTGCTTCATGTCAGAAGTTTGTTGGATTAGATGTGCGAGACAGATGGAGCTGCGTCCGCCGCCATAGAGCATGCTTTTTGTGCTTAGAGGTCGGACATCGTATCGATCATTGCGTATCGGGTATAAAGTGTTCCAA